TAATAATAATAATAATAATAATGATAATAATAAAAATAAATAATAATAAATAGCATTTGTATAGCGCATATCCCCGCTCAACAGCAGGCTCTAATGTACGCACCGGGTACTTCCATTACATCCCCTTGGATTAAATTTAACTGTCTTGCATTGATACACTTCAAGTAGGGCCTATGCCGTCAAAATATCAATTCCGATCTTTAGACTCAAGACGGCATACCGTATTGTCGTATAGGTATCACTTCCGATGTTCAGACAGCATGCCGTGGAAATGTCAACTACGATCTTCAGACAGCATGCCGTCGAAATATCGCTACTCAAAAGTAAAGTACCGCAGACGCTACACACCTAGCACAGGACCGAAACCTAAACCTCCCCTCGACATCAAAGGAAGGAAAAATAGTACAAAAGTAAAAGTATATTCTTCTTCAACTGGCGGTCGTCGAAGACGAACACGCTCGATCATTACGCAGCAGCCGAACTTTGTTTGTTTGTTTGAGTATTTCGTTGTTTTTTTTTGTGTATCTAAGCAAAGAGAAGCACATCGAAACAATTAAAGTCATTTAGTGCAGAAAAAAACCCTAAGATATACAGACAGAAACGACAAACAACCCAGAGAAGGAAAAGTAAAGTAGTTAAGACTTACTTGTGTTGCCATCCAGCTAATATGCGCCCTAAGCACTCCTAGCTAGTAGTTTCTCGTTGAAAAGTAGATAAGTAAATGGTCCAGCAACCCACTGTGTAAAGAAATACTTTCCCAGTATAATTTGCATAAAGTGGTTTAATAGAGGTCAAATGAACGAAACGGCGTGACTCGAATATTTATAAAAATCTGTGGTTCGCGGGCTCTCTGGTGTGGTTAGTTCCTTCGTTCCTATCAAACATCCATCGTCCTTGTTTATCCTCCTTCATCGTTTTTGTTTCTCAACCTTTAAGGAAACAAAACATGCTAATTCAACGCTTTAAAAAAGGTAGAGAGATAAACATGTGATAAACTCTGCAGACAAGAGAAATAGAGAGATGGTTTTGTAAGGGAGGTCATACCACAATAAGTGGCGGCCCTTGACTTTTCCACGCCGCAGTAGCATTGATAACGATTGACTGTATAGGCTACCATATCACAGCTGCTGTGTTGAGAGTAGTTGTAGTGACTAAACCACTGACCGACCTTGAACTTGATAGACGACAGCTTTATATAATAATAATAATAATAATAATAATAATAACAGCATGTGCTTTAAGACGCGGTCAGAGCACGCGCTCTCAATTTTGTTTGGCATATAAAGTTTTGGTATAACCTTAAAGCTTGTTCATCTATCCTACTTTTGGTTAACCAAATGCCTATTTATCTAGAATAGAAGTCGAGATATCTGCGACTGAATGAGGTGGGGATCGACTTAAGTGTCAGAGGTAAAATAGGAGAGAAAATGGCCGCCAAAGTTTGTTGACTTTCAAAGCTTGAGTGTCCTTGAAAGCTGCAAATTTACGTTTTTGTGCTTTATGTTTACGTTTATCAATAAAATGCACACAGAAATGTATTTTTGAATGGACATAAACGTTTTTGAGCTTAAAAGTAGAATGTTCGAAAAGAAATTGCTCAACGGCCAGAAAAATGCCGGTTTCTTTGACGAGCGCCTAATTTTACCACGATGTCTCACATATGATACACATATCGATTTTAGCTGCCGATGACTGAATAGTAGATCTAATATGGCTTTACTTGCCCTTAGTCTTTGTAAGCCTCAACAGTAAATAAATGACATGTCAATATAATTAGGATTGTGTGACAGATCAAGTCCCCCTTTTTGCTTGTTTTGTAAGCGGGCTGACATTTTCAATGCCCTGAATGAATTTAAACCTTGATAGACTTGTTTTATAGTCCGATTTTAATTATTTAATTTGGGTTAGATCTATACGAGGATGCTTTGGTGTGGTTTACTTCTTCTTTCCAATCAAACATCTATCGAGGGAGAGAGAGACTGAGAGATGAACATAGATAGATAGATAGATAGTGTGTGTAACAAAACTAGATAGATAGATAGATAGATAGATAGATAGATAGATAGATAGATGTATAGATAGATAGATAGATAGATAGATAGATAGATAGATAGATAGATAGATAGATAGATAGATAAATAGATAGATAGATAGATAGATAGATAGATAGAGACAGGGGGGGCAAGATAGAGACTGAGAGGTGAAGAGAGAGAGAGAGAGAAAGAGAGAGAGAGAGAGAGAGAGAGAGAGAGAGAGAGAGAGAGAGAGAGAGAGAGTGGGGGGGGGGTAACAAGAAACTTGCCATTTTGCGTAAATATCGCACTCTAAATTATCCTTCGCCGTACATTCTAGGGCCTAAACGAAACAAACTAACAAATGCCATGATTTATTTATAGCAGTACTGGGGACAGATAGAAATGGTACTATCTTTAGCAACGAAGGCTTTAAGTCAAGAGTCAAGAGAGAGTAAAACACTTTCCTTCTCGAAAACTTAAATAATACAATTATTAAGGAGAAAACTTACCACTTCACCCGTTCAGCAAAGCTCGCGACGTTCCTCGCCCTCTCGCGTCCACAAAGCAATAGATCACCCTCGCAAATACAGAGGACTTTGAATATCATACATGTCAGAGCAACTGGACATGACCCAGCCCCTAGTCACACACGTTACAGTAAGAATGTACACACCCGCGTGTTATACCCCGGACTGACCTAAATGTTAATATAATATTGTGGCGTTCCGCAAAGCTGGTAAAAGCCAGCAGCTGTTCCCTTTGGTCCGAGTCGACAATTAAAGTGAGGAGTGGTAGTGAAATCAAACGCTCGTCAAGATAATGATATTAAAAAAATCGGTGGGGTTTTTTTGGCCCTTAAGGAATTTTTTGAATTTTTATTTTTTTGGTTATCACCGTTTTGCACATATAAACAGAAACTTATGTGATGATTTTAATGGGAAAAAACCCTGATAAATGGCGAAAAAAAATTGTAAATTTGCATTTTCCAAAGACTTTCCAGCTATGAAAGTCACCAAATTCGGTGGTCATTATCCCGCTAATTCGACTTCTGAAGCAAAGCGATCTCCACCTCCTTCAGTCGCAAATATCTCGAGTCATTTTGAAGAAAGAAGGGTATTTTTTAAATCAAAAGCAAAACAAATGAACAGGCTTTACTAAGAAGATACGAAATACTCCACAATACACCCCAAAACTGTCGAGCACCTGATTTCACAACGCTGTGACACATGTTCTGTTGCGAGAGTGTATGCGGGGTATAGAGAATTAGAATATTAGAGTAACTGTTACTTGTGCTTTGTTAAAGGAAGTCGGGCAGATAGAGAGAGGTGAGAGACAAACAAGAGAGGGAAAGAAATGATAGAGGAGCTATACTTTATGCTTTTTCTGTAACCTGCATTATGTGATATACAGAGAGAGAGAGAGAGAGAGAGAGAGAGAGAGAGAGAGAGAGAGAGAGAGAGAGAGAGAGAGAGAGAGAGAGAGAGCGGGGGGGGGGAGGGGAGGGGGTAAACAAGCGACTGTTGACATTGAATTTTTAATTTGCGTTCTAAATTATCCTTCTCCACGGAGTATAAACAAATCAAAGTATCACTAGAAGTGATTTTGTCACGGTACCGAGATCACAGATGGAAGCGGTAAGACCATGAGTAACCATGGTTAATATTAAAGAAAGTATCAAAACACTGTTTTTCCAGAGAGCTGAAATAGTACAACTAAGGTGAAAATTCACAATTACAGGCACCCGAAAATGGTGGACTTGCAATATTGCCCCCGCTGTAAACCTTTTAAAATCTGCAGAAACCACCCACTGGGATTTTCAAATAGTAGTTATTCAATAATTTTCTAGAATACAGCTAACGGGTGTTTACCAAAACATTGATTTGTTAAGACAAATTAATGATACAAGTCATTGTGCAAAAGCTGGAGACTTTATATTCGACAGTTGTGGAAATATTTGAAAATGTGTAAGTTACTTCTCGAATTTTTGACCGCACTACAGTACACGACCCGCTTGTTGTACTGTGAACTGACCATAAATACATGCATATTGTGGTGTTCACAAGCGATGGTAAAAGCGTTATAATATTCATATTCGACTCAGTCAATATTTTTTTGTGAGAGTGTATGCCGGCCATCAAGAAGAAGAATAACAGAATGTTGACATTTAAATTTGCACTCTAAATTATCCTTTGCCATAGAACATAAACAAAACGACCCCCCCCCCCCACCGCCCCTAAACAGGGCGGTGCTACTGACTGAAGTTGTCTTTAGGCAATTCCCAAAAGGGGATACTAGCATGTACTTATGCACAGTAAAATATTGTAATTGGGATAATTTGTCAATGTCATGATCATACTGTGCCGGAAAAACGTAGGGGGAATGGCTGATTTTTCTTTCTTCACCCTTACTATCGTCATTTTTCTTCAAGTTCGTTCGTATGTTTGTCACTCTCTTGTGAACTGCTATTTCCGGGGCGCCTTGACAGTCAAAGCAGACTTTGCGCTGTTGAGGCCTAGAGAGGTGAGCAGAGTAAGCCTGATTCCCCGTTTGGACTTCTCTGTTGGTATCCATCCCCTGGCGCTCATATTATGACCCTATGCAGTTGCCAACGCGGTAAAACCTTACTAAAACTAAAACTAAACTAAAAACAAAACTAACAATTATGGGGATTTTGTAAGGGTACAGAACAGAAATGGACCTTAAACCTCCGTTTCTGCTTTCTCACTGTCTCACAATGATTTGGCGTCTGCTTTTTTCTCAGTTTTCTACGCCCACCCCTCACCTCCTTTGCCCCCTCCTCTGGGCTCCTGTTTCTTTCTGCATCCGTTCTACTGCAAGATCTACTTCTTGGCTCCTTATTACTACTGTCTTTCAGGGACACCCCTGATCGTATGGTAGGTAAGATATCCAACACCTAGTTTCTCGGAATACGGGGGCAGATCTCGGAGGTCCTGTGTGCGCGTTGCGCACATTAAAGATCTCTTATTGGTCCAAAGTCAATAAGAGTAGGTTTCGGCCGCCACCCGGGCAAAATTCAAAATTTCCTTCCGACTGGAAATGTTTACTGTGTCCCGCGAGCACATATGGCCTTATCCAGTTACGCCGTAAAACGCTTACCCCCCCTCCCAACAACAACAACAACAACAAATAGAGAGCACTGAAATATTACAACTAAGGTGAAAACGTACCACAACAGCTGCCCGGTAATACGCAGCAGATTTTAATCTAGACAATGAAGTTTCTCAGCGTTCGCGCTTACAAAGTAACAAAATAATTTTAATCACTCTCCGAAAATACAGAGGAATTTGAATAACTCAACACGTAGGAACAACTCAACAGCCTTCAACCTCTGATCACTCACGTTGCAAAAGGAACACTATTATCACGATTAATAGAAAGTCAGCACTAACTAGTACACAGGCCCGCTTGTTGTACCCTGAACTGACCTCTAGTTATTGTGGCGTTCCGCGAGGGGTGGTAAATGCCTGTGCACTTTCGTCCGAGTCAATATTATTTTGTTGTGAGAGTGTGTGTGTATGGGTCAGCAAGAATGATAATAGTGTTTAGTGTCTTGTGAAAGGAAGTAAGTCAGACAAAGGGAAAAAAGAAGATATTGGAGTCACTTGTTGCTTCCTCTGTAACCTGTATCGTGTGAATGAGAGAGATAGACCGACAGAGACAGAGACAAAGACAGAGAGACAGAGACCGCGAGCGAGAGAGAGAGAGATAGAGAGAGAGAGAGAGAGAGCGAGAGAGAGAGCGAGAGCGAGAGAGAGAGAGAGAGAGAGAGATAATGTTACGGAAAAAGATAGTAATACACAGAAAAGTGAGGAAGACATGGACAAATATTAATATTATCGTGAGGCTAGCCCGGGATAGGATAGGGTGGAAGGTGTTTGTTCGTGGCCTTCACCCTGGTTCAGGGAGAGAAAGGCTTTGATGATGATGAATATTATTATGCTGGCTCAGGAACATGTTTAGTTAAAGTCTCCATTTGAAATGTACTTGACCAACTACACACGCCTCGGTTCTCTACTAACAATAACAATATGGGGGCGTGGAAGGGGGGGGGGGGTGGTAGCCATGAAGACATACGCAAAAGAGGCTTTATTAAGTTATTTTAAGAAGGGAGACCTAAACTAGACTTTGATCCTAGTTCGCACAAAACACTTCAACGAGTGCCTATAAGACGAACGTGAACGAGCAATACAACACATTTTCTAAAAGAATTTTAATAGTTTGGATTATCTTGAAAAATGGAAGAGAGACTGGTGGGATTGAATGGTATAAAAATTATCACCCATGTCTGTATTTCTTTACGTATAACACAAGTAGCATTAAGAAAAATCAAAATCGTATGAAATCAAGCAGATTGACTATTTTAAGATGAAAAATCACACAAGGGATTCTGGCGTCAGTTGTGTTATGGTTAGGCTACTGCAGGGGCGGCTCGTGGTGCTAAAAATGGGCGTGCACAATTATTAAGCTATAACCGGTTGAAGATAATCAAGGGCATAGTAAATGGGATTGTAGGATCTTTGGGTTGATGACCTTATGCTTTTATTTTTATTCTTTTTACTTGTCGCTTTGATTTCTAGAACTAAATCTGTTTGATAGCTAAACATCAATTTCTTCATCCTACATTAGAACTGAACACTCAAGTAATAACTTTCACAACTCCACCACAAAACCATTCAAAGGCACAACTCGTAGGATTGTAACTTAACCCTATCCGTAAGACGTGTTTTACTGTCGTATCCATACAACGAGATGAACTCAATGCGACCATTTTCAGAAGAGGACATGTACTCGTCAATCCGATCAGTACGCTTTGCATAGCAGTCTATCAAAATGAATTTTTGAAAAATACTGAAAGTTTCAAAGAGATTTTCGTACTAGAAGTATTCTAAAATGAGGAGAATACAACCCAGGGGGTACAAAATGATCCCAGTGCGTACAGATAGGGTAAAGCAAGTCACGTTTACCTCCTTCAGGTTCACGGTCACAAAGTCACTTAAAATAGTGGCAAGAAAATGAACCAATCACAATTGACTTGAGCACTCCACTGAATTGCTCTGGGATCACATAATTTTGGCATAAAATAGGCGTAGTGTACAGTCTATCGCGTTTATTTTTTGACTGCCTACTTTGTGCTATGTTTCGAGAGTGCACTTTTGAGATGGGCCGTCTTATTAATATTAAGGAACCGCCAAACTCGCTACGAGTGTTGTCATTGCTTGGATTATCCCAAAGAGCGATTTACAGATCAGGTTGCCTCTTTCGAATATCCTATTTCGTTAAAGCGCGTGGACTTTGGCATGGCATAGTAGATGTTTTATGTCGTTTTTGACACACAAATGACAGTTACGTCGCCAGCGAGGACCTTGTTTTGATGTAAGATGTGGCTAGAGTTTGTGTCTGGCTTCTTCTATTTCATGTGTGTGGGTGCTTTACGTAACAGAACATTAAAGAATTTTGGGGCCTCACTGCACAACCGTGCTCTATGTGCGAACTGCACCTGGGCTACTGGATTTGTATTCGTGAGATTGTGAGTTTAGAGTTCGGGCCTCAGCTCGGTACGAAAATATGACCTTTGGAAAGGTACTTTACACGAATTTCCAGTTTGGCTTGG